TTAGTCCCTACAGAACTTTCTGCTGTGGCCTGTGCTTTAGGACGATACTGGCCTGGTAATATGAGAGCAGAAGTGAGAAGGATATTCTACTTCTACATACTTCTAAAATTATTGCATTTATTTCTGAGTAGAAATCTTTTATTTATTCTGTTTTGGCTTTGAGTTTCTTTCTTTCTTTCTTTCTTTCTTTTTTTTTTTTTTAAGTTGCTGTTTTTGTTTTTGCTCCAAACAGGAGAAAAATACTGTATCTTTAAATTAGAAGTAGCTGAATAATGAATCTTGGGCAGTGAAAAGGCTAATGTGCTGTGGAAGAGAAGGAGTTTAATCTAATTTAGTTGGAGGGTGTCTGTCTGTGGTGTTGTTTTCTGGACTGTGGGAATAGAGGAGGGAAGCTGCCCCAGTGAATGGTTCCTCCTGAGCCAGAATCAGTGGGGAGTCCCTTAGATGCCACTGATCCGAAGCCAGGCCATGAAAAGGGGATTAAAGAAATGTTCTGATTTGCAATTCACACTAATGCACCCCGTCGAACCTTTGGTAATATTTCAAACCACATTTCAAGGGAAGTGCCCTTAAAATAGCCAGCTAAATTGTATTAGAGCAATACTATACAGCCCACTCATCCATTTATGATTTGTTTTTGTTTTTAATTCTTTTAACTGTTGGTGGTGGTGGCTTTCTAAGGTAATTAAAACTTTTGTGCATTGTGAATATTCGCACTTGCATGGGAATATTTCTCAGTATGCCTGTCCTATTAGGCAGACGTGTTTATTTAAATATTGGAGGAAAAGTGCTACAAAGATTCTGTGGGTAGGGAGAAATGAGCTCATTTGGTTTAAAAAGCAAACATTTGCTGCGTGCCATTTAATTTTATGAATACCTAGTGGAAATTCAGAAAGGAAGGAAGGCTTCTCAATTGATAAAATTGCTATCAGATTGCTTTTGTGGGTGTGTGATCTTTTTCTTTTACAGTCAGCACCTTTTGTATGGCTTTTATACATATGTGTCCGCATGTATGTATACATACATATGTGTTACACATCTCATTTTGGTAACAAAATCTAACAGATGAAAACAGTTAAAAGGTGTCTGGATGAATCAGCACCAAATACAGAGGAGGAGAGGATTATTGAATAGGACTAACATTAAACTCATCTCTTTTTTGTGATGAACAGAGAGCACAAAACATTAAATCTGAAATAGTGATAGATCCAGAATTTTTAAACTGAAGGTCAGCAGCATAAATTCACGTTCCGTTACGACACACTTGTTATAAGAGCTCATGTATTTCGTTACAATTCTTTAATGTATTAATTAACTCTTTAACTCCCCAAGCCTATCATTTCATTTCTCTTTACTGCTGAAGCGTCAGAACATTTTATCTCAAAGGGATTATTTGGGTTTTCTTTAATCCCATTTCAGAAAACCTTGCCTAGCACTGCAATTTCCATTGACTCTAACATGTATAGAGTAGATGCAACTTTGATTTTCACCGTTACCCATATCAAAGTATTTTATTACACTGCCACTGTTGTAGATTACACAGCATTAAACTTTGCCATTCCACGGATGGGGGGAGAGTGGGCTTTTCCTTGTCTTGTTTATGCTTTGCTACACCTACAAAATATTCAGTTACGGTTTAAATGTTGAGATGCCTTATTAAACATTCAGGTTTTTTAATCTTTTGCTTATGGGACAGAAGATGAGCTGGACTTTAAATACAGATGATTCCTCTGCACATTTTGGGGAGGTGTGGAGATGGATGGCTGGAGGGAGAAACGTATCTTTCCTGCGAGTTGGCACATTATTTGAAATCATGTTTAATTATAAAGTTTCATTAAAAATCTTTTGCTTAAAATTTTAGAAGCCTAATAAGATTTCCATTAATTTAAACATATCGCTATTCCCACAACGGCCCAAATGCTTTCTTTTTCCTCTTTCATCCATGGTTAAATATGTAAATAAAATGTCTAAAGTCATTCTTCAAAGAAGACAAAAGAAAAAAGAGCTGAGGGAAAAGACAGCCATAAAATTCCTCCCAATTCTCCATAACATTTGCCAGAGGGGGGCCAACTCCTAGCCAGGGCCTAGCAGCAGGGGTGCCTGGCTGCTCCATAGAATCACACATCTCAAATCCCACACACAGGAGAAAAAAATAAAATAAAATATCTTTTCAGCTGGAGCCATCAAAAGGCTCTTTTCATTTATTAGTTACAGAGGTATCTTCCAGTTGCTGATTTCTCAGCGCTCTCATTTTTCTATAATAACGTTCTATTTGTTAGTTTCACCGACTCAGGCTCGTTGAATGGAATATGCTCCTAGATGGCTCTTCAAAAATATAGGAAGTGAAATAAATGATCTAAAGCAAGATGCGATGGCTAAAATAATGGCTAGAAAAACAAGGCTGATTTAAATTGGCACATAAAAGATCAATTAAGAGAGGCACAACTACAAAGGTTTGATTGTGGGTTTTTTTTTTATCCCTTTCCTTTTATCCTCATTTTTATTTGTATTTCTTTTGGCCACTTTGGAGAAAAAGGCCTCTATGTACTATAGAATACAACACACTGGGTTTTGTTTAATGTGTTTTTTCTAGGTTTTTTTTTTTTTTTTTATGAGAATGGTGATACAAAGTGCTCTACAGAAATACTTGTTGAAAATAGGAAAATCAACCTCAAAAACAAGCTGAACACAACCAATATTTAATAACTTCATCTTAAGCCATAGGGAAGTTTTAAAAGGTGGTTTGTCCCTTGTGAAAGCTTTCCCCACACTTCTCTGCCACCCCCAGCTGAGCTCTCCAGAAGAGGAATTGGGATACATACAAATACTAAGAAAATAGGCTTAGATTAATGAAGAATGGAAATGCCCCAACACACACTCGCTCTCACACACATACATACACACAGACCCACTAAAATAAATACAGCTTATTTTGCTCGTAACACTGCCTGCTTTTATAACATTGTCTAAGGAATCTCTGAGTGCCCATGAAAGGTCAGCCCCAAAGACCACTGCCTTATAAGTGTGATCTCTTCAATCCACCCAAAAGCCATTAAAACACACATATATATACTGTTTTAAAACAAATTTATGATGGCTTTTACTCCTGAGCAAAAACTAGCTGCATCTTCAGGCTTTTCAAAGACAAGCCCTAGCCTGGTTTGTTGTCCTTGCCTGGATCCGTTTCACCCTTATCACAGCTGAGGAAGCCAACAGTTTCCTTTCTAGAGGCTGGTGGGGTATTAGCTCTGACCCTGCGGGATTTGGTAGTTTCCAGGAGAATCCGTGTTCGCTCCGATAAGAAACAGGCAGTCATGGAGAGGAGCCCAGTTTGTGTGGGCGAGCCTGAGTGAAGAGAGAGATTTTCCTTCTTCATTAATATGTTCGCTAAAACTGAGCTCAAAGTAAATAATAATAATTAAAAATAACAGTAAAGTAGGGCCCATCTTTTGACTTCTGATCTGTCTGTGCTGCTTTCGGTCTGTACATCTGTGAATTTTAGCTTGGCTGGGGCTTTAACTTCTTCCTTCTATGTCTGATGGACCAATAAGCAGTGTAAATCTCGAAGCTTAACTCAGAAAGTACACACAACTCACTGAAAAATGATCTCTGTCTCCAAAATCTGTATGTTTCTTTTCTATAGTGGATGAAGTCACTTTCTCAAGGGTATGCCGCTTTTAGGGCTTCTTATGTAAGCAGGAAAAAAAAAAAAAAAAAAAAAAAAAAAAAAAAAAAAGCTACTTTTAAAGAGATGCCACATTGTGATTAAAAACATAATTTCCAGCAATCCTATCTGTCCTGTTCATTTAGCAATTCGAAACAAAGCATAACGTTTGAAAACAGCTGAGATTCCAGGCTGAAAGCGAGCATATTTTATGACCCTGGCAGCGAAGAGTTTACAGCACTCGCCATAAAATGCATCCTCCTCCTCCCCACATCCTCCCTGCTAAAGCATTGCCCTCCCTCCAATAAAGGCAGTCAAGGAGGTACCACCTTCAGCCCTCTTATTAGGAGCCACGAAGTCTGCGGCTCTCGCCCTGCCTGGCTTCCTACCTGGGCGAGGGAGGAGAGGCTGAAGCCTTCCAGAGAAAGGATCTTGTTAAACTTTCAAGGGAGGGCAACGGGAGAGAGAGGAGAAAGGAAGGAAAGACAGGAGGAGAGAGAAACAAATGGGGCTTTTTCTAATCTGTGCTGATCAAGGAGAACCTGTAGGGGTCCTTAAGGAGGTTTCAAGGCGTTTCGAGTGATTGGAAAGTAATCACCGTGTCAGCTTCACCTTTCTCATGCAAAGTGGATGTCGTATGCAAGGCGGATCCTGCACAGGTTTTTATTTTTTTGTTGTATTTTATTTTCTCCTCGGAGCCAGCCGCCCCCGGAGCCCCAGCTGCTCGGCCCGGAGTTCCCTGCGGGGGGAGGCAGGCAGGCAGCGCTCGGCTCAGCTCTGCGCGGCGCGGGGCCGGAGCGCCGAGGGGGCAGATCTTCCAGGCCCCCCCTCTTCAATGGCTTAGATATTTCCTCCTCCTCCTTTATTCTACGCTCGGATAAACCAATCCCCACCTCTCGGCGAAAAAGTCCGGAGCCGTGACCCGCTCTAGGAAGAGGAAAATCCCCGGAGGAACTCGCCGCACTGAAAGCCGCCCGGGACATGTGCGAGTGGAAGAGGTGATCGCTCGGATCTGCCTTGATCGCTCTGCCTTCGCTTCGAGGGAGGAGGAGGAGCAGGAAGGGTGCTGGAAAGACCGCTCGCCAAAGTGGAAGCCCGGCGAAAAGAAAGTTGCCGGGCTCCCCGCAGTAAGTTCGGCTCGTCGGTGCGCTGGGGGCACTTCTTCCTCCCCTGGCTGTTCGCGAACTTCCCCGCCCGCCTCCCCGCTCCTCCGGCGGGGCCGAGCGGCCCGGGCGATGCTGACCTGAGCCCCGCCGTGCCCTCCGCGCTGCCTCGCAGGGGCCGGACGCAATGCAGCCCCCGCCGCAGTGACCCGCCGCACTGACCCCCGGCCGACATGGGGCCAGCCGCAGGGAACCTGGTGCGGGCCGTCCTGGCGCTCTGCTGGCTCGCAGAGCGCTGCGCGGGGATAAGCTCCATAGACATTGAGCGCCCCGGCGACGGGAGGTGCCAGCCGATCGAAATCCCCATGTGCAAGGATATAGGGTACAACATGACGCGGATGCCGAACCTGATGGGACACGAAAACCAAAGGGAAGCGGCCATTCAACTACACGAGTTTGCCCCCTTGGTGGAGTACGGTTGCCACAGCCATCTGAAATTTTTCCTCTGCTCCCTCTACGCCCCTATGTGCACTGAGCAGGTTTCAACACCGATCCCAGCCTGCAGAGTCATGTGTGAGCAGGCGAGGCTGAAATGCTCTCCTATCATGGAGCAGTTCAACTTCAAATGGCCAGACTCCTTAGACTGCAGCAAGCTGCCCAACAAGAACGACCCCAATTACCTGTGCATGGAGGCCCCCAACAACGGGTCAGACGAGCCGCCCAGGGGATCCAGCATGCTGCCACCCATGTTCCGGCCACAGAGGCCCAGCAGTGGCCATGACCTGCAGCAGCACAAGGACAGCCTCAGCAGAACCTCCTGTGAAAATCCGGGCAAGTTCCACCACGTGGAAAAGAGCGCTTCCTGCGCACCGCTCTGCACCCCGGGGGTTGATGTTTACTGGAGCAAGGATGACAAACAGTTTGCTGTCATTTGGATTGCCATCTGGTCCATTCTGTGCTTTTTCTCCAGCGCTTTCACTGTACTCACTTTTCTGATAGATCCTCAGCGTTTCAAGTACCCCGAGAGGCCCATCATCTTCCTCTCTATGTGCTACTGTGTCTACTCTGTGGGGTACATCATCCGCCTCTTTTCGGGTGCTGAGAGCATTGCCTGCGACAGGGACAGTGGCCAGCTCTATGTCATCCAAGAGGGACTGGAGAGCACTGGCTGCACCATTGTGTTCCTGGTTCTGTATTACTTTGGTATGGCCAGTTCCTTGTGGTGGGTAATCTTGACTTTAACTTGGTTTCTGGCGGCTGGGAAAAAATGGGGGCACGAAGCAATTGAAGCAAACAGTAGCTACTTTCATTTGGCAGCCTGGGCCATTCCAGCTGTGAAGACCATAATGATCCTAGTTATGAGAAGGGTGGCTGGAGATGAGCTGACAGGGCTGTGCTATGTTGGAAGCATGGATGTGAATGCCTTGACCGGGTTTGTACTCATTCCTTTGGCTTGTTATCTAATCATTGGCACTTCTTTTATTCTTTCTGGTTTTGTGGCCCTTTTTCATATCAGAAGGGTGATGAAAACAGGTGGAGAAAATACCGACAAGTTGGAGAAACTCATGGTCAGGATTGGTGTCTTCTCAGTCTTGTACACAGTGCCTGCAACTTGTGTCATAGCTTGCTATTTTTATGAAAGACTTAATATGGATTACTGGAAAATTGTGGCAACTCAACAGAAATGCAAGATGAACAATCAGACTAAAAATTTAGACTGCATGATGAATAATTCCATTCCAGCAGTAGAAATTTTTATGGTCAAAATTTTTATGTTGTTAGTTGTGGGCATTACAAGTGGGATGTGGATCTGGACTTCCAAGACTCTTCAGTCCTGGCAGAACGTTTGTAGTCGAAGATTAAAGAAGAGAAGTAGGAGAAAACCTGCAAGCGTTATTACCAGTAGTGGAATCTACAAAAAACCTCAGCATCCACAGAAAACTCACCTTGCAAAATATGAATCCACATTACAACCACCCACCTGTGTATGAATAGGCTTTAGATGAGACTGACAAATATCCACAGTAGCGGTCCAAAATTAAGAAATAGATGGTGCTGTTTTTTGGCAGAGGACACTTTAATACCTCAAGGCAAAATGTCATACTGAATTCAGGACCTGGTTAAATACTGAAGGTAAATGTACTTGTGGAAAGGTTTTCAGTGAAAGAAATATTGTGAACTAAAACAGCCTCTTCTGTTACTAATTTTTAGTTATGTACTTAATCCGGCCCTCAGATAGTTAAAGAAAAACAGACAAAAAGCAACAACAACAACAAAATAACTTGTTTAACTTTTTAATGTAGCTGAGCTGGATTTCCTACAGGTTTCTGAGTAACCAGATATAGCCAAGTTTTATGGAGCAATGATTTTCTTTTAGAAGCACCCAAGTGAGCATTGTCTCTTAAGGAAAGGAAAGTCCCCAGAGGTTTGTCCTCACTGCTCTGGGAAAGCAACTTCCGTGCAAACTTTGAGAGAGAGAAATCCTTTACGACTCATCCCAGCCCATTGGGTTTGTGGTGCCTAAAAATAGGTTCAGTCTATAATGCTCACCAATATTCTTTCACTAGAAGAGAAACTTCCTGCACCAGACACAAACTTTGTGAGCAAGAATAATGTGCAATACATTTTTTTTTCCTTACCATGACATGAAAAGAGAAACAAGTATTTTGCTGTACATAAAGACAACAAAAGAAATCTCTTAACAAAAGAACTAAGAGGTCTAGTCCTCAGAAACCCTTTAGTGTTACATTTTGTGGCTTTTTAATGGAAATCAAGCCAATGTTATACACGTTTGGACTGATTTGTGGAAAAAAAAAAAAAAAAAGAAGGGGGGGTGTCAATTCAAAGAGACCCAAAGGGCTTATTGACTCTTTCTATTGTTAAACAAATTCTCACTATGAATAGATCAAGAAGCACTAGATTCTGCAAAGGGAAGCTTTGTATAGAGTGATGCTCTTTACTGTGCTGGGGGTGCACAGTTTTGGCTGTATATATTTGTAATATACAATTATTTTTCATGCTCCGCTATTTTATTAAAAATAAAATATGCTCTTTAGTTTGATAATTTTGTGTTTTCTAAACTTTCTCTAACGTGCTTTGTGGTTAATAAACTTGCTCCTTCAGCCATTTGGTAAAAGCACACTTTGAATACAGTAGTTGTTATACTGGACAGCGCGTATAAGCAGATAGAACAAAAATTTCCTCCAAAGAAATTGCTAGTTGAGATCAGATAAGTGGGTTTTGAAGTTACGTCTTTCTGTGAACCTTTGCAGTTGAGGAAACTGAATGGGAAAAAGTTTTGGTGATGTTAAAAAAAAAAAGAAAAAAGCTGCAGCCATGTAGGGTAGCACCGTGTTTGCAAAGCACAGAGATTACAACAATGATCCTTGGTTAACACCCCTTCCAAATTTGCATAGGGAACGTTCAGCATGTTAAAGCAGTTTGAATGCAGCTCAGCCTCTGCTCTTCAGGGATGTTTTTCCCTTCTAACGTTACTGAATGCATGTTATTTGGGAAAGATGAGGGGAAAGAAGAGCAGAAATCTAAATACAGGATTTGAATATTGCTATAGGAAAACCATCTGATTAAAACCGTAAATCCGCTTTCAGAAAGTTTTTAGTAGAATACGAGTTTTGTGAACCTGAAGTTTTCCATGGAATTAACCGAAGTGGGCTGTGAGATCACCTGGAGTGATAGCAATACAGCCTCACTTCTCACACAGGCTCTTCTAGAAGCCCTTTGTCAGGTATCTCACTGCAGAAAGAAAAGAGGTTTTAATGGGACATCCACAGAGCGCCGGTCAGCTTGCAGTGGCTGGGAAGGTTACAACATAAGGACTTCTTTCAGTGGCCTGGTTTGTCAGGAGTATGTGCAGAGCTGCAAATGTGCCTTTTTCTTCTTGTAGTCTTTAAATGTTTCTGGCAGTGCTGAGGAACTTGAATGACAAAAACATCTTCAGAAATGCTCACATGCGAAGCAGCTTTCGATATAAAATTTATTTAGATGGAGGAGGACGGGGAGGTGGATGTTTTTCTGCCTTTGTGCGTGTGTGCCACTGTTGGATGCACAGCTCTGTAGATGCTCTGTAAGTTAATCCTGTCAGAGCACACCCTGCTGGAGCCAAAGTAGGACACTGCACTGAACAAATCCACTTTTGAAACTACTGAATTAATGCTTTAGCCTCTGTGTATTTCTAGTTAAAATCGATTACATTAGATCCCAAGAAATACAAAGTTTTATTATAATCTGTGTAATGCAAGTTGCTGTGGGAGATTCTTCAAGTATACAGTTATACTGAATTCTTTACATCAGGATAATGTACAGAAATGTAGCAGAGTATAATAATACAAGAACATTAAAAACAAGTTCATTCAGAAATTGTACTTCTTGCTGTCCCTTAACCTCTAAGAGTCTTAACACTTTCATATTGAAGTTGCTACATAAGGTATCAGAAGCATACAACTTTTAAGGAAAAATATACTTATTTTTATGATGTCAGTGATTTAGTATAGTATTAATAACTTATTCTTGTCCTAGAAGTCTGCACATTAGTTAGAAATAATAATAAACAATGCAAAAGTGTTTGAAAAAAGTACATCAAAAATATTCTCTATTAAACTTCTTTACTTTCATTAGAAGGTTATATTTTAGTAAAATCCTGTTGGTACTTTTGCATGTGGAATTTGATAGGATTTTTCTCCACGTACTGTCAAGCCCCGTTGGCTGTTTGCTTATCAGTAGGTTTGTAAGAAAAATATATGAATATATTAACAGTTCAGTCACTCCATAGGAAACTTGTTGAGGAAGGAATGCAAGCCTAGAACTTCCTTTTGGAGAGGATCTTACTGCAGTGCAGTGACATTTATCTTGATGCAGTTTTGCTCAGTTAAAAATTTCCCTCCCCCCCCAAAAAATCCTGTTAGTGGATTTATGTGGTAACCAGGAATCTAATGCTTGCCACAGCTTGTGTCTGAGGGCTCTGTTCTCTCCCATAAGAGCTGTAGAGGGTAGAAATTGTCTCGAACTGTGTAGGTTATGATGATGCAGATCATATCTCCACACTGAGGTATCATCTGTGTGTATATTAGGGACAGGTAGAAGAAAGGCAGAAAGTTCATTTTCTGGTGAGGGTAACTTGTTAGAGTGCTTTTGTTGAATACGCGTTATTGGGGTGAGAAAATGAGATCAGCGGGGAAAAATCAGATTTGGGAAAAAGCACAAAGTTTACTCCTGTTACAACTTATCTTGTTTTTCAGTAAAATGCCAGCGATTCTTATAAATAGAAAATTCAGCTCAGTGCTTTCAGAAGTTTTGTGTTAGGTATGACATATCAGGGCACTTTGAACAGTACGGTGCAAGCAGCACAGCTGAAAGGATGTGAGGAGCTCAATCAAGGAATGTTCAGATCTCTTATCAGATTTTTCCCAAAGCAGCGTTTCATATGTATGTTATTATGAAGCCATTATTCACATATGGCTGTCATCCCATGGCTTCAAACTGTATGAAAAGCCAAGTAACAACAATGTCTGTAACATACACCCTCCTTATTCTAACATTTAAAATCTATGGCTTCAAGGGGATAGTTCTGTAATGATGGGATATTATGTGCTCAGGTGGTCTTTTGATGACAGGTGGTCTCCAACAACAGATGGCCTCAAAGGAGAAACTTCAGTGCATTTTAGTTTAAAACATTTACACATTTCTCTAAAAAAAAAAAAAAAAAATTGAAATGTTATCCTTGTGTAATGTCCTTAAGTATTTCAGACAGAGTAGCTGAGTTATTAACACTGACAGATGATAAATCAGGGCATCCTTTAAAAGGTGGGTGATGGTGATTATGTGGTCTTGGAGCTTGCTTTGATCAGAAGTGACAGGCCTGTAAGGTCTGTGCCACTCAATCCCCCCTGGAGGGAGATCAGCACCTGTTTGCACTTTGAGCCTCCTCTACCTCCCACTGCCTTCCAGCACTATTTCATCTTTTTTAACACACTTGATGTTGATTGGCTTTAAGCAAAGTCATTATTCATTTACAAAACACTCCTTGATGGAGCTCACTCAAACCCCTATTTCAGTAGGAGTGTTTGTGCTGTTACACTTAAGGTTGTATCAACATTCCCATTATAAAACTTTTACTTTCAGTGAACTACAGAGTTAAAATCATCCCGAGTGCTAATATTAACCTCTTTCATATTTTGTCTGAGCAATAGTGTGGATTGCCTATGAATCAGTTTCTATGTCTTCGTGTACTGACTCAGAAGAGACATGTGAACGAATTCGTGAAACAAATGGCTCTGATATGGTAGAAAAGATTTTAGCTGTTTCAGGTAGCTTTGTCTTATTTTTGAAGTAATCGATATTTCTAGAAAGCATCACAAAACAAGGATTTAACTTCACCAACAAGAAGCATAGGACAAACTACAGGAATCAGTGTCCATTGGTTATTTAGTGTTGTGTATGCAGGACTTTGGGATGGATGAGTTGGGCTTAGACACAAATACACACCGCAGGCAATGGTGTCTCATTAGTTAATTCCAGTGTATCTGAGAACAGATGTTGTTCATGCTGCTGGATGGGGAGCCCAGTTCTGCCTTTCCTGTATTAGCAAAGTTAAGGCTTTGGGGAGTTGTACATCAAAGGCAGGATTGAGTGGTGGTTGTGTATATTTGTAGGGCATTGTTTAAAAAGGAATTCCTTCAATTTGTTATCACTTGTTTCTTCCTTCTATTCTTCAAGATCTCCTCATAGATCTGCTCCACTGAAATCAATGGGTGACCAACTAAATTCAGTGTGTGCTTTGAACCAAACTTCCTATCTCAGGGAAACCACATGGTACAGGAAAACTCCTTAGTTTGTTGGGCTTTTTTTTTTCAAATCAGAACATTTTTTTTTACAAAAAGAAATCATAATATGAAAAAAAAAAAAAAAAAGAGAGGAAATTTATTATAATTATGTTTTAAAAACATGCTACCATGTTAGAATACACATAGCACGT